GTCGTTTGGAATAATCTTATTGAGCTGTAAGATATATAGTCTTGACAAAATATTTTACAAGACCAAGGAGGCAAAGATTCACAAAAGCTGTGCTTACAGCTAAAATATCTAGATAATCCTGTTCCACCCCCAAAGCATATGGTAGTGCTGAAAGGTATTGAAAAGAGAACTGATGCATGCCATCATCAGTGAAAGATCATGGGAAGAAAATGACTCGTCTTCCTTATGGACAAAGGCCAAAACTTTCCAGGTGGCAGAGAAAGGAAAAAGGGAAGACCTGTAAGAGATATGCTGCCAATGCAATGTTACTTCATGATTACTTCATATATTTACACTATAATGTTTGCATTCAAATAAAAGTTTAAGATTCCGGTTGCAATGGGTGGTCTGTGTAAGTTTATCTTTCCTTAGCCGGAAGTCTTTCTGGTGAATACATCTGAGAATACATCTTCCCAGTGTGGAATACATCTTGCCACGTTAAAACAGTGGATGTGGCTCTTAATGAGACATGTCGCATTATCACAGGATGTCTGTGCTCTACACCACTTGAGAAATTATACTGTTTAGTCGGTATTGCACCAGCTGACATCCATCGGGAAGTAGCAGCCTCTAATGAAAGGACCGAGACATTGACATCTCCAGCCCATCTTCTGTTCTGATTTCAGCCAGCAAGCCAAGGCCTTATATCAAGAAATAGAGTCCAAAGATCCTCAGAGATACTTGCAGGAACACCTCAGCAAGCGAGAGTCCAAAAGTGGCAGGCTCAAACCCAGAACCTCAATCAGTGGCTGATACCAGATGAGAGACTCCCCCTGGGCACACAGAAGACTTGGCAACTTGGAAGACACTGAACAGACTGCGCTCTGGGACCACGAAATGCAGAACTGACCTTAAGAAATGGGGCTACAAAGTGGAGTCCACAACATGGAAGTGTGGGGAAGAGCAAACCACTGATCACCTGCTGCAATGCAACCTGAGCCCTGCTACATGCACAATGGAGGACCTCCTTGCGGCAACACCAGAGGCACTCCAAGTGGCCAGATACTGGTCAAAGGACATTTAATCAACTACCAAGCTTGCAAACTTTGTGTTTTGTTTGTTTGTTTGTTTGTTTTGTTAAAAATGTAATACAACTGTCTGGTTCCTCCTGACACGATTGATTGATTGATTGATTGATTGATAGATAGATAAATAAATAAATAAATAAATAAATAAATTCCTGTTGTCATGCAACTGGATACTTGTGAAGGAAGATTAGAGGGTAGGGAGACTATATATTCATTCATTCATTCTTCTTTCTCTTGTACTATCTCTTTGGCCAAGCAGAAATACTACACTTCATTGATTTGAGCTAACACACAATACCTGCACTGTCTCTTTTCTTCCCATAATCTCTTTTCAAGCTCTCTCTTCCACCTCTTCTTCCATCATTCTAGGCCAATGCCTTTTGTCAATGACTTCCACACAGCTGAATAAAATCCCACATTTCCTGCTTTGAATTGGAATATATAGCAGTGTGGACTCAGCGCCCTTCCACACAGCCATATAACCCAGAATATCAAGGCACAATATCTGCTTTGAACTGAGTTATCTGAGTCCACATTGTCATATATTCCAGTTCAAAGCAGAAAATGTGGGATTTTATTCAGCTGTGTGGAAGGAGCCTCAGATAACCCAGTTGAAGGCAGATATTGTGGCATTTTCTGCCTTGATATTCTGGGTTATATGACTGTATGGAAGGGCCCTAAGGCTCATTTCTTCTACATTTTCTACTTTCTCACTGGTCTAGTTAGATGAACTATCCAAAATATTTAAGTGTTACTTGCTTTATTGATCTGGTTATTCCTTATACTCAGAGCCTCTTCTTTTAAGGTTTAAATCTAGAAACAAAATAGTTTCCTCCTATTTTTTCAGAAATTTGCATTTAAGGAAAACACCAAATTAAAGGTTTCCTCTTCATTGGCTAAGATTTGTACCTTTTCACTTAGTGTGCCATAATCTTGGAATTGCTTCCCTAATCAAGATGAATGACAGTCCAGTCAGAAGGCTGCTCATTCCCCAATTATGCTACTTCTTATTCAGTAGGAATAAGGTGTCTTGGGGCCCTTCCACACAGCCCTATATCCAAGAATATCAAAGCAGAAAATCCCACCATATCTGCTTTGAACTGGGTTATGTGGGATTTTCTGTCTTGATATTCTCGGACATAGGGCTGCGTGGAAGGGGCCTCTGTAGAACTTGTTCATTAGGTACATATAGGATTTCACAGCTAGGTTATTATAAAGAGCCCTTCCACACAGCCATATAACCCAGAATATCAAGGCAAAAAAAATCCCATAATGTATTGTCGAAGGCTTTCATGGCTGGAATCACTAGGTTCTTGTGGGTATTTTCGGGCTATAGGGCCATGTTCTAGAGGCATTTCTCCTGACGTTTCGCCTGCATCTATGGCAAGCATCCTCACCTCACTACCTCTGAGGATGCTTGCCATAGATGCAGGCGAAACGTCAGGAGAAATGCCTCTAGAACATGGCCCTATAGCCCGAAAAACCCACAAGAACCTAGTAAATCCCATAATATCTGCTTTGAACTGGGTTATCTGAGTCCACACTGCCATATATTCCAGTTCAAAGCAGAAAATGTGGGATTTTATTCAGCTGTGTGGAAGGGGCCTTAGTGCCCATTGAAGGGCTAGATGTCATTGTGATGAACCAGCTTTTTAGTGGATCTGAATACTCAGGTCCCTTCTACACTGCCATATGATCCAGATTATCAAAGCAGATAATGCACATTATCTGCTTTGAATTGAATTATATGAGTCTACACTGCCATGTAATCCTGTTCAAGCAGATACTGTAGTCTGGATTTTATATTATTTTTCTTTATTAAAAATTTCAATTTATACTACAAAAAAAGAAGTAAAGGGAAAACAGGAAAGAGTGGAGAAATGAAAAGAGGGGGTGGCATTAGTAGATTAAACTGTGACAAATATTAAATATGTCGCAAAGGAAGGGGTTAAAGAAAAAGTGGAAAGACATCCCTCAGTTCTACTGAGTGATTCCGGCCATGAAAGCCTTCGACAATACAGTGGAAAGACAATTATCAATGACAAAGTTTTCTTAATGTCCTTATTACATCAATTTCTTCATATTGTTGTTGTCGACCTTTGCAACCCGAAAGACAGTTGCATCTGTCAAGTAGGAAATTTGGGTACCACCTATGTGTGGGGAGGATAATTTAACTAATAATAATAATAATAATAATAATAATAATAATCCTTTATTTATACACCGCTAACCTCCCGAAGGACTCGGTGCAGCTTACAAGAGGCCGAGGCCCAACACATCAATAAAACAACAGCATAACAAATACAACAATAAATAAACTCATAAAACAAGCAATAAACATTAGAACAATAGCAATAAACATTAGACAATAACTCCATGACACATTTAGAACTAAGGCCGGGCCAAATGTAATGAGTAAAATTTTAAAATGCTGAACATGACAGGTGAGATGGATAGGTTTTTGGAGATAAGTGTGGTGTGCAGACAATCTTAATCTCTAACAAAGTGCATTTGGGACATGATGCTAGGAGTTTCCTATTCTGGAAAGGCACACTGGAACAGCCACGTCTTCAAGCTCTTCCTAAAGACTGCCAACGTTGGGGCTTGTCTGATGTCCTTGGGGAGAGAGTTCCAGAGTTGGGTGGCCACCACGGAGAAGGCCCTGTCCCTCGTCCCCACCAATCGTGCTTGCGATGCAGGTGGGATCGTGAGCAGGGCCTCTCCAGATGATCGGAGAGATCATGTGGGTTCATATACGGAGATGCGGTCACACAGGTAGGCAGGTCCCAAACCGTTTAGGGCTTTTAGGTAAGCACCTGCACCTTGAATTGGGACCGGAAGATGAACGGCAGCCAATGGAGCTCCTTAAACAGGAGGGTTGACCTCTCTCTGTAAGGAGCACCAGTTAACAACCTGGCCGCTGCCCGTTGGACCAGTTGGAATTTCTGGGCCGTTTTCAAGGGCAGCCCCAAGTAGAGCGCATTACAGCAGTCCAATCGAGGTGACTAAGGCATAGGCCACCCTGGCCAGATCAGCCTTCACGAGGTACGGTCACAGTTGGCGCAGGAGTCTCAATTGTGCAAAAGCCCTCCCGGCCACCGCTGACGCCTGTGCTTCAAGCGTAAGTGATGAGTCCAAGAAGACACCCAAACTGCGGACGTGTGACTTCAGCGAGAGTGTAACCCCGTCCAGCACACGTTGCCACCCTATACCCCGATCTGGTTTACGATTGACCAGAAGGACCTCTGTCTTGTCAGGATTAATCTTCAGCTTGTTCATCCTCATCCAGACAGCCAAATTTATGAGGCCATAAAAAATCTCCAGACAGACGGTGAAGCAACAGTTTCCCTGGTGGCCAGAAAAAGTTGGAATGTTAAATAGCCTCTGACTGTCTGTCTATATGTGTTGTGTGTCTATGGCATTGAATGTCTGCCATGTTTTCAACAGCAAAACAACAGAGGGAAAGCAATCAGGGACATCTAATCACATCTCAACAAAAGATTGCCCCAGGCACTGCCAGGCCATCAAATGCTAAGTGGTCAGTTGAAACATTCACACCTAGCTCCAGCAGACAAGAGTCCTTTGTCCCACCCTGGTCCAGCTGCAGCTGGTCATTTTACAGATATATAAACCCATTTTCCTAGTTCCAACAGACCTCACTACCTCTGAGGATGCTTGCCACAGATGCAGGCGAAACGTCAGGAGAGAATGCCTCTAAAACATGGCCCTATAGCCCGAAAAAACCAACAACAACCCTTCGGAAGGGTGAGTTCTGGGTGAGGCGCCGCGAAAAAGTCAATCAGCGTTCTCGCGCATCCCCGCCTTCGCCCGCGTTTTTATGTCTTCCTGAGCGGCGCGCCTCCTCCAATCAGGAGAGGCCTCGCAACCTGCCAGCCAATGGGCGCCCGCGGGGGCCGGGCCTCGTGGCTTAAGGAGATGGATAGGCAAAGCATGATTCTCTCTTCTGGGGTTCCTTGTAGAAAGAAGGAGGCAGGCGAGGAGGCAGCGGGGGCTCCCTGGGTGCTTCCCTGCCTCCCCCTTTCAGCTGATGCACCCGGGAAAAGGTAATGCAAAGCGGGTTGCGATGGACCTTGCACCCCCCTCCCCTCCCTAGTTCGCTCTCTCGACCCATTGCAAGGGTTTGGATGAAGGCCCAGCGTTGCTTTCTCTTATTTCGTTGAAAATGGCATTTCCCCTCCCAAACCTTCCTCTCCCCGATTGCTGGCTCCCTCATTTGTCCCCTTGGGGTGCATCTCTACACTGCAGAATGAATGCAGCTTGGCACCGCTTCCGTTGCTATGGAACCTTGGGAGTTGGAGTTGCACAAGCCTTCTCTGCCAAAGAGTGCTGGTGCATCACCAAACTACAGCTCCCAGGATCCCATAGCATTGGTCCCTGATAGCCAAAGTGGCGTCAGACTGCATTCATTCTACACCCTTTGATCTCTTCCTTCAATTGATTTTATTATATTTTTTTTGCTTGTGGGGATGGAAACACCTGTCTGAATATCTGTTCTCAAAGGCCAGGTTGGAGGTGGGTGGGCTTTTGAGAGAGGACTAGTTTTTCTCAAAGTCCCCCATGCCTGCAATTGCCATTCCCATTTCCCAACAGCTGGGGATAGCTGTCTGATCAGCTAGAAAAGAGAGCACCTTGGAGACCCATTCATCCTCATTTTCTGGGAAATTGTATAGTTTTTAGGCAGTGAGCAGCCATGGGTCTCAGTCTTGGGAGAAAAATGAAGTATCAATAATAATGGTAATAAGTAGTTGATCTAATGGTCGCAAGGGTATGTCCGTCCACTAACCTGCAGGTGTTTTGTCCATGGGAGGAAAGAGACCGCCATCCTATTTGCATTGTGCCTTATGGTGCCCCATGCATTTCATGAGGTTTCTATAGGCAAGGAATACTTAGAGGTAAGTTGTCGAAGGCTTTCATGACCAGAATCACTGGGTTGCTGTGAGTTTTCCAGGCTTCATGGCCATGTTCCAGAAGTATATTCTCTTGACATTTTGCCCACATCTATGGCATGCATTCTCAGAGGTTGTGAAGTTTGTTGAAAACTAGGCAAGTGGGGTTTATATATCTGTGGAATGTCCAGGGTGGGAGAAAGAACTCTTGTCTGCTTGAGGCAAGTGGAAATGTTGTAATTGGCCAGCTTGATTAGCATTGAATAGCCTTGCAGTTTCAAAGCCTGGCTGCTTCCTGTCTGGGGGAATCCTTTGTTGGGAGCTGTTAACTGGCCCTGAAGTTGTGAGGTCTGTTAGAAATGTCCAGGTGGCTTTGCCAGTTCCTTCCTTTGACATACACCTGCAGCTTTTGGTTTTCATTGGTAGCCTCTTATCCAAGTGATAATCAAAGCTGACCCTACTTGGTTTCCAAGCTCAGATGAGATTTTGGTGCCTTTAGGGCATTTTCATCAAGGCCACATCAGCCTTAAGGTTGCCTTGAAAGGGTTGTTGAATCCCTGGATGGAGAATCTGTGGATACAGAGGACCAAGTTATAAACAATATAGGTTCTGTAGGGTTTATTCTTAAGTTGAATTTGTAAGTCAGAACAGGTACTTTTAAAACTGTAATGCCAGCTATATATCTCTATCTATCTATCTATCTATCTATATTTATTTTTATTTATTTACAGCATTTATATTCTGCCCTTCTCACCCTGCAGGGGACTCAGGGCGGATTACAGTGTACACATATATGGCAAACATTCAATGCCAATTTTAACATACAACATATACAGACATACACAGAGGCTATTTTTCTGGCCGCCAGGGGAGCTGTCACTTTCATCGTCCATCTGCGACACTGATGAAGTACTTCCACATTCCCTGCACGCTTTTTTTGCTGGAGTGCTTTGCTGGACTCTTTTTTATGGCCTGATAAATCAGTTAATTTAGCCTCCCCACACTTTTTTAAAGGTGGTACCTTGTTTTCCTACTTGACAGATGCAACTGCCTTTCGGGTTGCAAAGGTCAACAACAGGCTACACAATTGGTTGGAAACCCACTCCAACCTGGGCTGGCTTCAAACTCATGACCTTTTGGTCAGAGTGATCTTAATGCAGCTGACACTTGGATAAAAGCTTTGGATAGCATAGGGAAGGGATATCACCCCTGTTGTGTTTGTTTTGCTGTCTGTGCCCCCGTTCAGAAGATTTCACCTCACTTTCTGTGCCTGTGATAATTGGATTGTGAAAAATGTGACTTGTCATGAAAATAAGGATTGGTGATAATCCCTCAATGAAGACGTCTTTTCCCCATGATAACTCTTTCAGGAGTGGATTTCCCTTCTGAGGGGTAGATTTCTCAAACTTCCTGTTGTCTCACCCTCATTCTTAACTGGGAGTTGTTTGTAAGTTGGATGTTTCTAACTTGGGGACTATTTGTGTGTGTGTGTGGTACAGAGTGGTCAGTGCTCTTTAGTTTTGGCTTGCCAGATGTTATTGATTGACAACTCTCATCACTTTTGATTGTCTGCCATTTGGATTGGGGATAATGGGAATAGCCCTTGTGACTCTGGGGTCAGGTAAAGGTTAAAGGACATTTTGAAGTCAGACATCCTATCTACAAACCTTTTATCTACGTTCTACCCCCATTATACTGTCTAAACAGAACAAACTGCAGCCTTCCAGATGATATTGTATAAAGATTCCCATCGGCTCTAGACATGATGTCCGATTATGAGGAATACAACAGTTATAGTCCTGCATCTGGAGGACCACATAAAATTACATGGTGGATGGATTCAGACTATAGGCCTTGAGTTTGACACATGGGCTCTAGGATATTTAGGCTGCATACACCTATTACATTTCAGAAGGGAAGGTAGTCCTTTTCATTCGAATATTCTGGTGAAGTGTATAGTCTTTTAGACTGTGAATAATTTTGGGTCCCAGTCCTCGGAGTAAAGTGGGGTACAAATCATAGTAATGATGGTGACGACCATGATGATTATGATGATAGTAGCTGATGTAGGAGTCTGCAAGCATATGTCAATCCAATAGTATACAGGTTCTTTATCTATGGTAAAAAAGAGATCTCCATAATATCTGCTCTCTGTGTGTGTGTGTGTGTGTGTGTGTGCATGTGTGCATGCACCTTCTGGCACCCATACATTTCATAGAGATTTTGCAGGCAAGGAATAGTCAGAGGTGGTTTTGTCAGATCCTTCCTCTGAAATATAGCTTACAGGGCCTGGTATTCATTGGTAGTCAGTCACCCATCCAGGTCCTTACCAGAGCTGACAGTGCTTAGCTTCCAAGATCAAATGGGATCTGGTATTTTAGGGTATTTAGGCCACATAGATTTGTTACATTTGGAAAACAGGGGTTTCTTAGACCTAGAACCCATCCCCCAATTAAAAACAAAAGCCTAGAATCTGTTTTGCAACAGCTTTATGCCTATATATATATCCTTTTTTCATGTCAGGAGTGACTTAAGAAACTGCATCTCACTTCTGCTGTGAGAGAATTGGCAGTCTGTAAGGATGTTGCCCAGGGAATGCCTGGATATTTTACCATTACCATCCTTGTGGGAGGCTTCTCTCATGTTCCCGCATGGGGAGCTGGAGCTGACAGAGGGAGCTCATCCTGCTCTCCCCAGATTTGAACTGCTGACCTTTCAGGCAGCAATCCTGCCAGCACAAGGGTTTAACCCATTGCACCACTGGGGGCTCTCTCTCCCCCCTTCCTCTCTCTCTCCCTCTCTCTCTCTCTCACTCTCTCTCTATATATATTGTAATAGCAATTAAATAAGAAACCAAACATGCTAGGGTTTGGGATTGCTTGTGACTTGATTCCTAGCAATGCATTATGCTATAGCAATGGCACTCTGGTTCTGCTAAGCCATCATGCTGGACAGGGGCCACTTCCGAGCTGTACAATCTGCATCCCTGGTTGTGTTTGTTTGTTTAACTGTTCCATAGGGAAAGTGCATATATATCAGACCTTAGAAATAAGCATCCTTTCAAATACTGTTGAACTGCAGCTCCTATCAACCCTCACCCACTGGCTGTGGCCAATGGAAATTGTAGTCTAACAATGCATGCAAGCAGCCACCTGTTCCACACCTCTGATAGAAAGGAACCCTATCTGATAACTCTTAGGAGAATGTGGAATTGTCAAACTTGTGCACCAACTGAGTGGATTTAACATTGACAGGGGACTTTATTTGACTGTGATCTATGCAGGGCTCATTTCCAGACCTTGATGTGTTGAAATGATGTTGGTTCTTTGTTGTCCTCCCTCAGCTGTTCCTGTTTTAAGACATGTTATATCATCTGCAGCTTTTCCTTTAGCTCCCAGGGCAGTGACAATAAAATACGTTGTCATGTTGTTAGTACAGTGGCTGAAACAGTTAATGAGTGGAGTTTGGTTTGTATGCATATGTTCCATCAAGGTGTATGTCTACTTGAGGCCACCTCATAAAGTTTTCTTAGGCAAGGAATATTCTGAGGTGGTGTTGCCAGTTTCTTCCTATGAATTTCACAAGGTTTTCTTAGGCTAGGACTACTAGATGTAGATTGTCAGTGCCTTCCTCTGAAATATAGCCTACAGTATCTAGGATTCTTTGGTGGTCTCCAATTCAAGTTCTATCCAGGACTGACAGTGCTTAGCTTCCAAGATCAGAAGGGAGTTGGTCCTGCTAGGGCAGTGATTCTCAACCTGTGGGTCCCTAGGTGTTTTGGCCTACAACTTCCAGAAATCCCAGACAGTTTACCAGCTGTTAGGATTTATGGGAGTTGAAGGCCAAAACATCTGGGAACCTAAAGTTTGAGAACCACTGTGCTAGGGTATTTAGGTTTATGAAGTAAGAAAAATCCACATGAGAAGCTTAACTATGCCATGTATAGCAGTGTCCTATATCCAATTCAAATGATGCAGCATAAGTAAATGCATGAGGGTTAATGTAGCATGAATATGTCTGCTTTATAAAGCTGTGGCTTCCATGTTGGTGGAGCAGTGGATCTATTCAAGGTTTTAGTCCATAATTTAAATAAGCTACCCGTGATGATGAAAGCCTATCCCCCAAAATAAGCTCAGCACCTTGGATAGCTCCTTAGA